CAAGATAATTTTCTGCTCAGGGATATATGTACTCGCCTATTTGCGGCGGAATGAATACTCAAATTTAATTACTAAATTAAAACGGATCTATAATAAAACGACAAAGCATGTAGTCATTGCCTGGACGATAATAACCCAAAAACACTCTCATTAATATCATGAGCCGGAAAATTCTACTTAAAGCTATCGTATCACCCCCGCAACTAAATAAAAATAACAAAGGCGAAGGCGAAGCGAAATTAAATCACGAACGAATAAGTTACCCTCCTCATGCGTCGAAACCGAGCTAAGATTCGCAACATGACGCTCCTTCAAGTTTATGACAGTTCAGAGATTCCGTGCTCTCGCTCAAAACCGATAAAAATTCGGACCCGCTCGGCTCAGAATTTGAAAAGGTCCGTCAAATGATAAATATAATTTTTTGATAGCGCCGTCCCTTGCGGTTGACTGGAAATGCGTTTTAACAAAGACTACTTCATCCCTTTATTATCCGACATCTTCACCACTGAGAATACAACTCCGTATGAAACGATGTTTTCCACCATAAAAAATGAAATATCATTTAATATTTTTAAATGATAATCAATTGCCCTTGCATTGTGGTGAGTGACGTATACATAACTTATAGAAGTCTACTTTATTTTTCCAAAAAGGACATAAAAGATGCCATTTCAGATATATAAGCATATAGAACAAAAGTAGCTTGGCTTGAAATAAGTTCAGATCCAAAGAACTGACGGACTGTATTTGCAAGCTATCCAAGATAAAAACATATTTATCAGCGGCAAATATAGATATAGACAGATAGAAACTATCTGATCTTTTACAGAAATACAATAAAGGCAACGAAATCTTAGAGCTTTGTAAAAATCCTTGGAAAAATTCATATTTTCGTATTCACAATCTTCAAAAACATTTAATAAACGGGGGCTTACTTGCAGGATTATTATTTTTGTTTTTAGAAAAAAGGGAAAAAATGCTGGAAGAGGATATAAAACATTTGAATAGTAGAAGGATTTTAATAAGAAAAATATTATATTAATATTCCACATATTTCCACTTGTTTTGCCCTAATTTTTTAAAAAAAGTATGTAGTATAGAAATCCTCATTACAAATCACACTAAGGTAAAAACAATTCAAATTAATTCCTAACTTAAAAATTTATTAACGCTCAAGGAGGTAAGCAAAGCAAAAGGAAATTATGAACGAGATACCCTTTATATAACCGGATATAACAAATGAGGATATTAAGTTATTATTATGTATGATAATATTACACTAGACGTATATGCTAATTAAAAGAATGAATGTTTAGAACTTTATAATCAGCGGGCAATTGGTTATATCGGTGGTAAACGAATAATTTAGTCTGATGAGGAGAAGGAAAGAAATAGAACATTAGAAGTGTGCCCGGCAAACCTAAATTTATTGCCATTTAAATAATAAGGGGGATCCTGTGTCAATAAAATATTATGGAAACAAACGAGTAATTTCGTACCATTTCCCATGGTTAACTCTTTGGCCTCTTTCAGCTTGTAGGACACTCTTTCGTACTTACGAATGTCTTAAATTAATAATCATATTAATTAATCATATACCATTATAATTTAATTTGTTTTAAAAATGATAATGCACGTGTTAGTTTCATAAATGCTTTCTGATATAATATTATGCTGTCTTAATAATATTAAAAAGCACCAATGAAGCAAAAGTATTTTGATGGAATGATTAGTGTTTTTTTTTTCAATTTTACAATGTTGGTTATCCGAGTATGTAATTTAAAATTAAATATTCCAAATTTTTAAATAATATAAGAACGGCGTTATTGTAATTTTTAAGTTAGTAAAGAAAATTGTGACTTTTTGCTGTATGGAGGCTCCAAATCCTTTATTTGTAAATAAAGAGGACTAGCGAATTGCGTATATTTATTTAAAACTTTCTAGGAAAACCTCTGCGGGCTTTTCCTTACGACCTTCACGCGTGGCTTTATCCGAGCGCAGTAAATTGTCGCGGGTCAAGAATTTTTACGACATTCCTATTAAACTCCTCTTTAAAAATAGAAATAATGTACCGCAAACGTTTCATCCCAAGTGGAACATAAACCAAAGCCCAATGGCAATAAAGCCGGGCGTTAAAATTTTCGGTTTAATTTCACACCTGATTAAACCTCACTCTTGACGCTGCCTCTATAAATAAGTTTTATCTTGACGAACACCTCTGCGTTCTGGTAAATTTACACTCAATTCCGGATTTGCGACGGGAAAAGGATCGCTTTCGCCGATCGCATCGGTCGGATTGGAAAATTCTTAATCTGTCGAGGGTCGAAACGAACTTTATCTTAACTCGCTATAAATTGTTTTCGTAAAGACGAGTCCTGAAGGAGCTTTACCGTTCGATGCATTTCTGTGCGTGATACCCACGTCAGTATTTTAAGAATCGATGCTTCGTGCTAAATTTTTGGTTGTAGCATGCAGAAGTAACAAACTTCTTTTGGATTTAAAAACTTATAAATAATACTAATTTTATTTCACACTTAACAATAAATGTTTTATGTAACTCGATATAAGTTAGTAGTGCCTACGATGTAACGGTACACAATAATTATAATGTAATTTATTAAGATGTAAAAATATTTATGTCTATTCGACTTCTTCATGTGGCGATAACTACAGCAACTTGCTTTAATCTTTTTGCTGTCCTGACGAGTGTTTGAACATTCATTCCAATCCATTCTCGAATATTTTTCTTTTGCCTAGACCACGCTTCCCTTCACTTTTACCTTTGATGTTCATTTGTACTAGGGAGTATTTGTAATGAAACATTAACAGAACAGTCCTTCTATATAGATTTCTTTTCTAGTGTATTTAAGATGTGTGTTAGATGTAATTTTCGAATTTTTAATTTTTTTAGCAGTTCTATTTTTAACATTTTGAAGAAAAGCTTTACTTAATTGAATTCATATAATTATAATTCACAATTCTTTTTGAAATGAACCTGACCTCCTGACGCCTGAGTTTTTAGTTTAATTACTTAGGTTCGATTAGTCTATCAAAAGTAATTTTTATAACCAACCTATTGTTATTTAGACAGAGATATATTTTTTTAATAATAAATCACTGTGTGATGAAAAAATCCATTTTATAAGTTCTTAAAAACAACTTTGTGTATAATTTCGATCTAATAACCTACTTGTGGTAAGGTGATATATTTTGTGCATATGACGTCACTTTTAATTTGACGCGAAAATACCGTATTAGATTCTTTCAGCCAATTACAATATCGGGAACGCAGATATCAATATCTCGTTTTCGAGAAGTTTCCAAAAAATGCACTTTTTCAAATTGAACGCACCAAACATATCGATTTAGGATTATTTTATGAAAGAAAAAGATATGTAAATCTAATATTTAATTCCTGATAATAAGCTAAAACTTTTCAAGTGCCTGAAAGTTTTAAAGCATTGCAAATGAGGACGCGCCGCATAAAAAAAAAGATATAGTTGGTTATTGCTTACGTGCATAATTTTCAACTTTATTTCTGGATACTCTAAAATATTAGATAACTTGATTTATGTACGCGTATGGCTGATGTTATTTATTGTAGAGCCAATAATTTATAAAAAATGTTTATGCTAATGCTATATGATCATAATGAATAGAACAAATGCAAGCGGAGAAGAAATAAATCATAGGAACAAAAGACATAATATATATTTGGAGAAATAGTATTAAATCGTAAATTAGAACTCTTTGTTCTATTTTAGATTGCTTTATTGATGAGATAAATATTGTGGGTACTTGGTGACGCTGTAAAATATTGTTAAATTTCTCGGAAAAGGGGATTTCTAGGGCTTTTTGCAATAAGTTTATAGTGACGTCATGTAGACAGTCTTAGCACTTTGCCATGTAAATAGAAAGTTCTTAGAGCGGCCACAAACACATATACATATTACGCAAAAAAAAACTAAGCAAATAATTTCGCTTGTGATTGATATTCTCTTTTATATTTCTTAACTACTAGCCGACTGTTTTCGAAATGGTCCACAACAGGATTTAGATAACAGATGAGCGCTATTTGATTATCTTCCTTTCATTACAGGATAACCCTGAGCGTTCGAAAAATCTAACTTGAATTAAAAGAATATGCCAATATGCGTCGAATCTATTGGTGCTTGCTATACCATTTTATTTTTTTATTTTTTTCATTTTATAAAGATCTACTTCACTCTCCTCTAATCTAAGGGCATAGAGTATCACATATTAATCCACTTTTCCAGGTTCTCAGCTTTGCGAGTAGCCATTTCGTTAAGATTTTGTCTTATAGAGCTGATGAACTCTGAACCCACTTGATATCCCTAATTTTCGCATCTATAATCGGGCAATTCCCTTTTCTAGATTCTTAAAATGGTCAGCATAAATGTCCTACTTAAAATAAAATGTGGCGAATGCGGATTTAATTAACATAATATCTTTAGACCTGTGCAAGATTCCATTCAAAGACTGGTTTAATCATCCTTTTTGCACAATTGTAAAGGAACAGCTCGAGGTTTCCAGAAGTCTCTTTTCAATCAAATTACGGTCTAGACTCTCCATAATCTCTTATTTTTAAAATAATCAAATAATTAACATTTTTCTAGAAACAAAAGCATTATGTTTATTAATACAAGTAAAACACTACAAAAATTACTACTTAATTATTTGTCGATAGGTGCTTCTTACAATGTAAAGACTCGGTCTGCTTAATATTTTGAGATGAATCTATAGGCGACACTGCCAGTCTCTTTCAATCAAATTATTATTCTTTTAAAATAATCACATAATTAACATTTTTCCACAAACAAAAGCGTTATGTTTATTAATATAAGTAAAATTACTTGTTGATCGGTGCTTGTTACAATGTAAAGGCTCGGTCTACTTAATATTTTGAGATGAATCTATCGGGGACACTGTCAGAGTGCTAATTGTTGTTGCTTTTGTTTCAGGTAAGATACAAAAGAAAACATACCCTGCATCGAAGTAATACGGCCCAGTTTCCAAGGTAATGTTTATTGTACATGACTAGCTGACATTTCTATGACATCTTTACAATGAAATCCCACGTTTCGCAAAACGAATGTTAATCAGTATCAGAAATGGAAATTAACTTACCAACATGATTAGTCCTGAAGCTCTTCGCGCCAGACCAAGACCTGGCGGTATCGCTAAAATCATTGACAAGACTCAGAGTACCCGGCGTTCGTCAAAACCGTTCTCACAGTTTTCGACTATCGCTACTGAGGGCACTCGAAATGATTCGATTAAACTTTCAAAAGAAAACAAAATCAAAACCGCCCCGAAAACGGTTCCGTGGATTTTCGAATTCGAGGACGAATCATATGGAACTTTACCCGACGCGTTCCAAACTTGCGTTGATTTGTTGGCCATAGCAATAAGTACAGTTATGCTTCTGGCTAAAGAATATGATCAAATTGGTGCAAATCACTTGAACTGGACCTATAGTTACCTATCCTGTATCCAAGATCACCGTGGTGAATATCCTCCTAACATAAAAAGGTTACTTAATTATATGAAGTTACTATTCAGCGATACGCCTGCATTTAGTAAAGACAACTACGAGGTTGGAGAACAGAAAAAAGAGCATGTTAAGGAAGTTATAGGTAGGGTCCATAAAGAAAGTGGAACCCCGGGACAAGACATTACATCGGAAAAATTGAGTGCCCCTGATGTTATTATGGGTGAGGAATTACCAACTATACCACCTATCAGCGATACGGCTAGTAATAAGGCTGAAAAACAGAAAAAAGAACACGACCTGAAGGTTATAGGTAGAGTTTATAAAGCAAATGGAACCAGAAGAAGGGAAATTACATCGGAGAAATTGAGTAGCCCCGATGTTGTTATGATTGAGGAATTACCAACTATAACACTTATTAGCGATACACCTGCATTTAGTAAAGATAACTATTACGATGTTAGAGAACGAAAAAAAAAGGACGACGAGAAAGTTATAGGTAGAGTGCATAAAGAAAATGGTACCCGAAGACAAGAAATTATATCGGAAAAATTGACCACCCCCGATTTTATAATGTATAAAGAATTGCCCATTGCGACAAACGCAGAAAAAATAGATATTGACCGAATGAAAACCAATGCAGAGTATGAAGAAAAGGTGGAAATATTTGACAAAAGCCATAGAGGTGCCGAAGTGACGGACGAAAGGGTGGAACGAAGGATGCTCGCAGCAGTGGAAATTGGAATAGCTGATGAAAAAATATGCGCTGCGATAAAATCTTTAGAAAAAATGACAACCGAACAAAAATTTACATGTGCGTCGTTAAAATCTGTTACCAAATTCACAAAATCCAAAGTTAATCAAAACGTAAAACAAACCACTAACCTATAATGTTCTGCAATGATTACTTTGTGCCCAATTATTTGTGATGTGGCTGAAATATATCGTTATTAGTTCCCAGCAAAATTTGGTGTTCGAACTTTATTGATGCGAAATTTGCTGTCGCAGCTTCCGTATAAATCAATCTGATATGCCTTTAAACCTGAAACGAGTCGATTTTTTGTCACCATTGAGGACGCTGATCGTAAAAATTCCTGTTTCACTTGTCTCAGCTGCTTTCCGGTACTGAAAAAGATTAAATTTTATTTATGATTTAATATACGACATTGGTTAGAATTTCCTGCACGGGATATGTTACCTTCAAGTGTTTGCATACGGTAATATACCTATTTCCCAATTCTGCATATCACATACGGATGATTAATAATAAGGAAAACATACATGTACTCACTTCTCATTGCGAAATAAAGCAAGCACTGGACCATATGCCTTTTCCGATTTGAGGATTAACTATTAACTGCTGTAATAGTAAAAATTTACTCTCATTACAGGCATATCATATCCCACAAAATCTAACACACACACACACACATATCAATACTATATTATGCAACAAATGCGGTACACGGCATTTAACTCACGAATTGGTTTGACACGAGCGGAGCGCAGCAGAGCAAGTGACTTAAAATATCTACCAAACGTGTTACATACTATGCTTTTTCTACGACTGATAGTTTTTGTGTGAATTTTTGCAAAATAACACGAATACATTCACTGACATGACCGTCCGCATGCTAGATCGGTGTATAATTAGGTATTTTGCAGAAGGGGGTAGAAAAACAATTTAAGATAGTAGAAACCCGTACAATCGAAGATAATAATACTGATCGGTGTGTTCCAAGGAAATTTTCAAGGACTAGACGAAGAGGTGTACAAAGTCAGGTGTGACAAACAAAAACAATGATTTGATTATTTGGTAATTCTTAATTTGCATACTAACTGCAAAAGTATGTCAAAGTTGACAGAAGAATATCTAGTATATTTAATGTTAAGCTGTGATTCCATGTGATATGTGTGTGATGCTATGTTTTTATTTTCGCAATGAACACTTATTGTTTAAATATATAACTGGCACGTAGATTTAGATGTTGGTAATCGAAACTAAAAAGTGTGTAGGTAATATAATATAAAAAATCCAATAAAAATGTATTGTAGGCCTTTCTTCTGTTTGTAAACTACTTATTAGATATTAAAATTAGTGTTATGTTAAAAATGAAATATTATATTCACACAGTAAAGTAGCTTTCCCAAATTTACTGAATTTTTTATTAAACCTGCTTAAGTTTTTGGGAAATTAATGTAAGCAGATAATACTACAACAAAAGCAGTCTAATTTCGCTGCTAGTATATTAAAGAATTCACACATGTTGCAAGGGTTTAGGTAATCTGTTCTGACTGACAATAACTCTACTTCTAGTTCAGATTTTCCCCACGATAGTGTGAACAATATGGGTCAATTGTACAGTTTTTCATTTTTTAACAATTTTAAGCTTAGATGCAAGTCATCATTAACACAAACTAAGTAATACTGTTAATATTTTTTTCTACTCCCGTCTGTAAATACCGACTGAATTACATATCGATCTAGCATTCGGGAAGCGTCACTTTACCACGTCAATTTCGTTTCCCACGGATCCGAGCCACTTCGGACATTTCCGGGATTTTACCGCACGGGTTTGGGAGCAATCGGATGTTTTCGGAGATATTTCCCAGGGTTTGAATTTTAACGTTTGTCAATTCTGACGGTCATGTCAGTGAATGTATTCGTGTTGTTTTGCGAAAATGTACCCAAAAACTAACGCTCGTAGAAAAAGTATAGTATGCAACATTTTCGGTAAACTTTTTAAGTCACTCGTTCATTGCGCGTGTCAAATAAACCCGTTAGTCAAATGCCGTTTATCGCACTTGTTGTAAATGTCATTACTTGACATTTCAGGTCGATATTATTAACTATGAAACCATTGAAGTTACCATATAGTATAGTATGAAGTATGATTTACAGAGATTTATTACGTCAAGTTTGATAGATAAGAACCTACTTGTTCTTTCGTCATTTTACTGAGGAATGGACACACCGCCATGAATATCGAATATTTAGTGATTTCGTATGCAAACCTCGAAGGATTCAAATTTTTATAACAGGCAGGGTGACACCGGACTTTTTAAAATTTGAGCCTATTCGGGCCGAGGGAAAAGGATAATCCGCCGCTGAGAAACTTGCTGCACGTGAATCGTAACTTTTGCTTTTCGTATTTAACTGAAGACTTGCGTCATTTGAGAATGGTAATTTTCGCGTTCGTATTACGTTGCTGATTCAAGTTTGTCATTCAGTTAAACCCTAACGCTGAGCGACGTTAGATCTCCAATTGGCAAGCAGATTTTGAATTTTCAAGAAAATTAAAAGAAAAATAAAATCCCTTCAGCAAGCACCAGTACTACTTCATTTCCTTTTAGAAAACGTCGATGAATACGTATTTCACAGAATTATAAGGAAATTATAAAATAAAAACAAATCATTTATTAACCATGTAATTAGATATGGCAAGTTTGTTTGAATGTGATCCTATTTTTGCAATTCTGTTTTTTTGAAAAGTGGGTCTTTCAATCCTAATTCGAACAACAGTAACTCCTGCATCTCTTTCTCAGTCTTAAAGAAAGATAGCAAGAATTGCTAAAGTTTTTTTTGATATTTGTAAATTTTGTGAAAGACACTATTTTCATTCAATGGAATCAATGGAATTATTCCTCTCATTGTCTATATTTCTGACTAGAAAAAATATGATAGTCGGCACATACGTGTGCTAGTAACAGTTTAATTTTAATGAAAAATATTATTTTATTAACTAGAAAAAATATAAGCAACCAACCAACAGCTTGTAAATACGCTTCTATATTGTAAATACGTACGTCTATTCTCCCCGGTGCGCATTTGTTAGTGAATAAAACTAAGCAGGTTGATTTGAATAACTTAGCTGTTTTACGAGATAAAATAAAAAAAATATCGGCTTAACACATTCCACAATAACATTCACGCTGAGACAACACTGTATTTAATATCTCCTGTGTATCAGATATCAACTTCGTACATTGAAGTACACTTACACGTACCAGCATGTATGAGTAAGTGTATAAATAACCGGACAATGCCCCTCGGGAATACATCATGTTAATTTTAACCGCCTCGGTGATCCATACCATACCACCTGTCAGTTTCGAATCGAAATATGGACTCGCCTCTTCGAAAATTCATTTATCTTACTCGATCGTGTAGAGTGTGCTATAAAATCAAAAATTCAAATTCCTTTATGGGCGGAGACATCTTCTCCGTCATGTAAAAGTATATATTACTTTTTACACTTAAATATCAGCATTGTTTCCATTAGATATGTTATTTTGACTTGGCACTCCATAACACCATTGTCCACGCATTCTAGCATAGCACGTAATACAAGATAGACTTTTATATTTCTTATCTTCAGTATCTTCTGGAGTTTTAAGTTAAAAATATCTTAATAACCTGTGCCGCTTCATTAAGGTAATCTCTCACCTCTAATGTGAAATGATGTGGTGCGCCGTTTTGAAACAGCCACATTCTTCGCCTAACTTGAAGAGGCACATCTTCCAGTGAAATGGGCACAGGATTTCTCAGAAATCAGGCCTTGTGAGGATTTTCATCGGACTAAGGTGACTGTGGTATTCTGTTAAATAACTGTTAGTTAAATTAAAATTTAATCGACAAACTATAAAAAAGTTATAAACACTATATGAACTTTAATAATAATTTTTAGATTAGAACTCTTAATTTGTTTATTCATTATTCCAGATATCCTTTATAGTATGGTACGATTAGAATTGGGAAGTCAATTTTTCGCACTCAAATATTTAAAGAGACTTATGAACACCACATGAAAAAGTATTCTTTCAGCATTCGTTACACAATATTAAACATAATTTCATGGGTACGTATTCTGTGAGAAGCGACAAAGAAATGATAAATTGAATGTAATTATTAACATATTGTAGCCATTCCATAGGCAAATGAGTCTCATACATTTGACTTGAAAGTCATTAACATAATTCTGATCCACCCCGGCCACTTAAAAAGTACAAAAGAAAAAACGTGTTAAGTAATCTTAATGCGTGTGACGGTCTTAACGGGTTTCCTTGCATTTAGAAAATAAATTTAAGTGTTAACTCGGAATTAAAAATAAACGAAGTAATAAATTACCCGTAATTATCGTGTACCTGATTTGCATATTTACACAAAGAGGTGTTTGTATAGGAAATATTTTCGTAGGAATTGCCGATGTTTCGAGCAAATAGAATGAATACCCAAAGCGATGTTGACACACTTTTTTAAATTAAACATTTTTGGGGGCGGCGCGTGATCACGCATTAGGGCAATAAATTAACCTTTCTTTCGTTAATAAGCTTACTATACAAGTTATGGTGAGATTCCAGACAATACTTAATTTAATCAGTTGGAATTTTTAATACATTCATTTAACTGTTATATGAAATAGTATTTTTGAAATCGACGTATTAGTTGGCGTGATCTGAAATTTACTGGCCACTGACTTTTACCGGTTTAGTTATTTTGCACTTCACTATAATGGCTAATAGCTAGATACAGCAATTTTTCCGGACTTCAGCAAAAAAAAAGCTTTTTTTCAAAATTTTATGATTTAACACTATTTGAAAATGCGTATTGTAAAAAAAAAAAAATTGAGACCAGAATAATCTGCTGGTTATTTTGTACAACTACTTCTCTGACTTACTCCACATAAAACAAGATAGAGTAATATTCTGGCATACCCTTGTAGTAATTAACATTACTCATTCATTGCCGCCATGTCTGCAGCGAAGTCAGCCTCTGCTTAAACAATAATTTAGTGTGTAGTGAGCATTGAGTGTAGAATAATGCCAAGCTAGTCAAACCACAACAATGGACATTTTGGGATAGCTGAAAAGTACAAAAATTGCTGTTATATTTATTTAGAGAATTTGTATTGAACGTAAATAGATTTGCTCCTATTATAAGGAGTAAAATTTTTTTTAATAAGATTTTTTAGGCATTTAAGGAAATGCTTTGTTTGTTTCAACTTCAATTTATCAATAGTTTTTAGTAACTACATAGAAATCATTTATTTCATTTGTGCTTTATTGGAATGTGTTAAAACATTTGTTAAAAATTGAGTACCGAAAAATTGTTAATTAAAAAAA